GAGCTAAAGCCGGTGCTCAAAGTACAAGGATCCACAGCAAGGTACCCAGTGACGCTTGAAGAGAAGAGTCCTCAAGAGTATCTGGCTCATTTTATACCGTGGGAGTTGGGGGCACACGATATATCAATCACGCTGGGCGGCTTCCCAATCCCGGGCACACCATGTGAATTTAATGCAGTGACTAGTGCTAGTACAACGTGCAGTGCAACTGGTTCAGGGCTACAGCGAGCACTCACTTCCATACCAGCACAGTTCCTCGTGCAAGCAACATCAGGTCTCCTAGAGGAAGGGAATCTTAGCATTCAAGTCCAGAGCGTTGTGTCAGGCTATTATGGCAAAGTGAGGGTGAGGGACAACGAAAACAGTTCTTATAATGTTGCCTATCTTGTTGATACCCCTGGGGCTTATCTAGTCCACGTGAAGGCATGGGATCAACACATTCCGGGGAGTCCATTCAAAGTGAACGTGAGTTACGGGCCACAGGCTCACAACTGCATTTTGAGCGGTAAAGCCGTTGATCCTAATTTTTTTGTGAAAATTGGAGACCCGATTGAGTTCTCAGTCGACGGTCGTAAAGCTGGCAATGGGATGCTAAATGTGTCAGCCGTGGGACCAAGAGGAGCTCAAGCAAGAGTCTTCACAGCAAAGGGCTCAAGATCAGGACTCTACGATGTCCAGTTAGACCCGATTAGACCAGGCAAGTACAGGGTCTCCGTTAAATGGAGTGGGGAGCACATACCGAACAGTCCCTTTCTAGTAAAAATATTCCCAGGAGCTGATGCAAGCAAGTGTAGAGCATATGGTCCAGGGCTTGAGGATGGGATGGTAGGGAAACCAAGCACCTTTACCATCGAGACGAGAGATGCTGGCTCCGGAGTACTCAAAGTGAGACTGAACGGACTCAGGAATGCATTCAAGGTTGACGTGAAGCCGGTGAGTACCCAAAACATGAGGACACTTGTTGCCAAATACAACCCAACCAAGCCGGGGGACTACCTCATTAGTATAAAATGGTCAGAGGTCGATGTGCCAGGGAGTCCATTCAAAGTGAGAATAGGAGGAGAAGAGATCGTGAACAGAGAACAGAATCACAGAACAAGCGAAAGCAGGCTAACAGAACTCGAGACTATACAAGAGGAATACCAGCAAACTGAATCACAGTTCAGTTTGGAAGATTGGACCAAGAAGCAAAGGCACTACAACCACAGGCAGCAGCAACCACTCTTGCCTGCACATGCAAACTTTTCTTCAAGCATGCCCAAGTTTGGTCAAGGACACGGGATCAGCTATCAGAGTAATTTTGCCACAAGAGGAGGCATAGCAAGCAGAGGAGGAGCTGGAGTCAAGAAAAGCGGAGGGAGTAGTAAGCAGACGAAAAAGCATCAGCAGCACAATGGAAGGTCAATGAGTAATGGGACACATCCCAAGAAATCAACATTAAAGAAATAACTGACACAAAATAACAAAACACATTTTCAATTTTAAATTTCAAATTGTGTGCTACATGTGACTATTATGCATTACACCCAATTTTTGTGCACTCCATTTTTGTCCATTCTATATACAATAATACTCAAAAAATATATTCCCTGTTTTTTGTATCTCAGTTTTTGTTTCTCATAAAAGTTTCTATAAGTTTAGCTATCTTTATCATAAGGCCTTCATCAAACCACTTACTAATAACCTGGACTGATAGTGGGAGCTCTCCTTCTCCTCTAGTAATAGGAACACTAATGGCTGGTAATCCTAATACAGGAGAGAAGTATAGCATTTGGGAATTAGCAGCACAACCAATACAAAAACAAATAAGAATTGTTAAAAAATAAAAATTGGTTAAAATTAATTGGCATCAATAGTATAATATAGGGATAATAGGGTTAAGTTAACCCATCCAAAAATTTTATACATTAAAGAATTACATTGTAACTGTTATGAATCAATCCTTCATCTTTTAAACACAGTTATTTGTAAAAAGTCTCATGGGTTGTCTCTGACTCCTTTTGTTGTGGTTAATGGCTGACACTATTCATTACCTTCTATTCTACATCATAGTTATAAAATAAATTTTCTTACCTGCTAAGTTAACTGGTACAAGGAATGTATTAAGTACATATGCTTCAACTGGTCCCAACTCTTCCATTGTACTACGTGTAGGAGGAGGTCCAAGTGACACTGGAGTAATCAGAATATCAACAGGATCAGGACCATCTTTGTCAAACACAGTTTGATAATCGTTCTTTATTAAGCTTCGGGCTTTAAGAGCTTGTTCATAATGATGCCTTCCACTTTAAGATATGAAATTATAATGAATAATTATTACTAAACACAGTTATAATTGTTGTTAATCTTACTGGTATGAGAGAAAGTAGGTTCCAGCAATAATCCTGTGCTTCACAACAGGTCCGAGTCCAAACTGTCTATTATAGGCAAACATCTCATCCACTGTTGATGGGGAATGAGCCTTTGAACAATCATATCCTGAATATTGTATAAATAAAAAAATCTTATTATTATGAGTCACCAAAAATGGCTCCGGTGTATTTTGCCATGTTAGAAGAGGCCTCAGCAGAACAGATGACAGTGTAGCATGGAACAGAGTAAGAGAAATGAGGTAGGCTCACATCTTTCACTATCATGCCTAGTGATTCCAGCTCATCAGCTACTAGTCTCCATACTGTTCTATTCTCAGGTGATAGCTCCTTAATGTCACATTCCTATTAGTAAACAAAGAAAAGTAAAACTATAATGCATGTACCACTTAGGTTGAGAATAAATCATTTGTGTGGGTGATATAGTACCATATAGCTCTAAATTTTAGTGTTCTAATATTTTGTGAAATTTTGATAATCACAGAAATTTTAATCACAAAAACTACCAAGTTGTCATTGTAATTACTGCACATGTTGGTTAATGTCCAAAAAATTTAATTTGCAAATATCCAATTTTAGGAAAATCATGGGAATTTTAGATCACAAAATATGGAGCTAGTAGGATATGCATACTTGTTATAACAAACATTCATACCATAACACAGTTGGCTATTGGGGCAAATTGTTTGTTATTTGATACTAAATTCAGCAGATATTCAACCAAAGAATAACATTCAAAAGAGCTTTAGGATTGCAAGGTTACTCTATATATATAATGATAAAACCATCAAAGCACAAAAAGAAAATTAAAAGCAATGAAGATCCTTTACTGTTGTGTATTTACAGTTGTGTTCTCCCTAGCAATAGCAAGCTGTGACTCTGCAGCTGCTCCATGGACAAAGGTATACGGTACAATGACTCAAGTCTTTGCTAACAGTGTTAGTCTTTGGTCTATTGATGCTAAGCTCAAAGCTTACTACTGTCTCCGGCCTTGCACTGGTAACTGGGTCAATGTTGGTGAAAACATGGTGAATATCGAAGTTGATGCATTCTATTCATGGGGTATTGGGACTGATGGATTCCCTTATAGAAAGGGAATGGAAAATTCTGGAGGATGGGTCAAACATTCACATTTTCCTAATGTGATAGATGTTGCCGCTACCAGAGATTCATATATGTGGTTTTTACATACAAATAAAGAGGTTTCTTGGGCACGGCATTATATTGCTAAACTACACAAGGTCACAGGAAGGTTTGATCAAATTGATGCCAACTCACAACATGTATATGCTCTCAATAAAACAACCAATGTCATTTCTTTTCGTCCAGTACATGGAAGGGGTCAATGGCGTAATATCTGAGGGCAGATGAAGTATGTAACAGCTGGTACTCATGAGATATTTGCTATTGGAGTAGATGATGAGCTCTATCGTTGCACTATACCTTGTGCTGGTATATGGGAACTAATGGACTTTCCAGAGGAAGCTGGATTGACTCAGCTTGATGCAACTATTGATGCTCTGTTTGCTGTCACAAGCGATGGAGTGATTTATCATCATGAACTGCCTCTTTAGATGATATAGTAGAACTAGTTTTATATTAAATATAATAGTTTGTATGCCTTTTTTGTTGTTTTTGGAGCAGTTTATGTTTTTTTAGTTAAATAAGATTAGAATCAAATCAAACTTTCTGCATAATGCAATAGCAAAATTGGCTCATTTTCAAGTGACAAAAAAATCTTACTTACATGATTCATAAGTGGTACAATAATAGATAATTTTTATTATTATTACTTTTGGAATTCCAACCCTGACAGTAGTCATCTCTTCATTGCCAGCAAACTCATCATTGACTGAACAATATTCTCTCCTTACAGAAGTAGAGTCACACCGATCCCAGCCACTAACAGCATCTATAAATCAGACACGAACGTAATACTGATTATTATCATTGTATAATTGTATTGTAACATTTTTATATCAAAAGTTTGAGCTGATTCCAATCAAAACTTGATTTTTACGAATTTTTGAATTTGGTCAAAAATTGGACCAAAGTCCCTGTACAGGGACTTCAGCCAAATTTTGCCAAAAATGGCTAGGAGAGAATTCTCCATTTTAATATTTTTTTCAAATGCATATACATGTACTTATGTTGCATAGGAAGTTTGAGCTGATTCCCATCAAAATTGGATTTTTCATGAATTTTTAAAGTTGCTTACATGTAATTACCTAATACATTAGCAGCAGTGCTAACAGTTGGTGCAAATATCCCTACAGTGTCTAAAGAGTTAGCTAATGGGATTAAACCATGACGTGATACACGTCCATAGGTTGGTTTAAGACCAACAGTACCACAGAATGAAGCTGGTAATCTCACTGACCCACCAGTATCACTACCTAAGGCACTAGAGAAAGGAGGAGGGAGAAATATGGAGAAAATGAGAAGGAGAGATTAATTTCCTTTTTGTTAGATTTTTACTTACAAATCACACATTCCGGTAGCTACAGCAACAGCACTACCACCAGAGCTTCCACCACTAACAAGATTATGAGCTGAAGAGGAAGAGGAGGGAGAAGCAGAATTTGGATGTTCAACTGCTCCATAGTAACTTGACAAGTTTGATGAACTAAAAAAATTTAAAAAAAATTTGATGCAATATTGAAATAATTATACATTAATGATAGTATTGATACTGATACTTCTTGCTTAGCTTACCCCATTGCAAACTCATCCATGTTGGTTTTCCCAATCATTGCAGCTCCGGAGGACAATAGCCTCTGGACTGCAGTAGCAGTGTATGGTGGAGTAAAACCTTTAACGAGAAAATATCAAAATCATTATTAATTTTACTAAAACTGATTTACTAGATAAGAAACGAGAGGCACAGGTAGTGAGTGTATTGGCAGTGCAGAGGTTATCCTTAACAGCAAAAGTATGCCCATCCAATGGACCAAGAGGAGCACCTAAAGTCATAAAATATATAATTAATTAGACTAATTTTGTTTTATTTCTTTTTACCATCTTCATTTCTTTTCTGAGCTTCCATGACTTGGCTCTCTGCTATTTTGATAGTTTCAGTGATAAAGGCGTTCAAATGAGAGAGATTTTTCATCGAGGAGATCTTAGATTGAAAGCTTTGAAGAAGAGAATTTGCTCCTTTGGCTGCCATGCTTAAAGGTACGCCCCTTCAATTAATATTAATTATTATTAATAAGTTGATTTCTGTTAATAAAATAATTATTATTACTTAAATACTAATAGCTATACATTAATAGAGCTCTCTAATTTGCTAATTTGAGCTCTTAGTCTCTCAAGATGCAGTTTCACAAAGTGTTCATGGATACTGTACATTTTCTTGGTTTGCTTTAGAGGATGAAATGTTATAACTTTGTTCAATCTGAGTAAACTCCTTCTGTTCAACTTTCTTAACGTTCCCGTCATGCTAAAGAAATCTTTTCCATTACTGTAATCGTGAAAGAATAGCTCAGTCATCTACAGAAAAAAAGAATTGCATCCCTACCAAATTCATTAAAATTAGTACAATAAAATACAAATAATGGCAAAGCACTTATAATTTATTGTAATCAGTGAAAGATTAGGTGTTAATGTTATGTCTAAAGCCCTCAACATTTTGCTAGAAAAATTTGTGGTAACTTTGATCTCTTTTAATCAACGTGGTGCTAAGAATAGAAATTTCGCAAAAAGTTGCTCAAAAGATCAATGCAGATTTGCTTGTTTTAATTTTTAAAAGTACAGTACTTAAAACTACTACTAAAGTACATCTAAACTACTTACTTTCCTTGATTTAGTACAGTATATCCCTAGTCTCCTATTAATACACCTACCAACCTCCACATCTTCATTATAGGATACTACCACATTAGTAAGGCACTCTTGAAGGTGTGGTCCCAGTTTCCTTAGCAATGCTCGGCTGAGTACCATCCCAGGGCCTCCCATACAAAAAACATCAGAAGGGCGGAGCTTTAAGCGCTTTAAATCCTCTTTTCGGCCTTTCCCAGGCGAGCCAATATAAAGGGGCTGAGAGGAGTCTAGTTTAGAAAGGAAGTCTTTTAACTCGTGAATCCTGACATACAAATCATCATCAGCTCTTAGGAACCAGTGATATCTATCAATGTAATTATCATACATGTACTTGTACATTGCATAGACTTTCTTCTGTGGTGGGTAGGTATCGTCTATGCCAGGTAGCCTCACCAGAGGTAAGGATGACTCCATTCCTTGACCTTCTCCAACATAAAACTCTAAATTAGACGCAATCATTCCTCCCCATGTCTTATTGACGGCATGCGCTCTAGTTCTAAGGAAATCTCCACTGGTTACTACTCCTGCATACAGTGGATCCAGTATCATCATGTCTCTCCTCAGACTCTGTACTAAGAGCTTGTTTTCATGTGTTACGTAGACCGTATTGCTACCACAGGTGGCCGAGGCGGAGCCAAGGCAGTTCATACCCCAGGATACCATCAGGCCTAGTAAGAATCCGAAGAGAAGGTAGAGAAAGGCTCTGAGGAGAGAGAAAAGGTCCATTTTCATTGACAGCCTCATGATTTGCCACACCCATAGGCGGGCATACTGACCCACGTGAACGCACATGGAAATTAGGGGTGTCCCGATTATTCCAGAATAATTTTGGGAATAATAGGTAGCACTTCAATTCCAGAATAATGCTGGCCTAATAGGTGGATCAGTAGCCAAACTCTAATTAAAGAGCAGCAAATGCACAATTTTTGAAATTTTAATGGCTGAGCTAGTTGTAACTCAATTTTTGAACAAAGTTCAGGTTCTGAAATTGATATAGAGACTTATATTTTGCAGTCTCTGCTGATAGTGATACTTTAAATAGCTCAGTTCTCAGACTTACTAATTTTCATTTTTATTGTAGTTAGCTCATGATTATAAAGAATAAAGTGAGAATAATAGGGCAGAATAAAAAGAATAATAGGCAAATTTTTGAGAATTTCTGAATAGAATTATAGGTTAAAAAATTAGCATAATCGGGACACCCCTAATGGAAATACTTCGCCCACGTGCATTCACGTGTGAAGCAAAATGGGTGTGGATTAAATTTTCCCACGTGCGTTCACGTGGTATCAATTTGTCAGTCAAAATGGCGACTAACTCAACTGGTCAGATTCGTATCTTCCATCCTTCTCCTTCACTTTCAGAGGAAAATTCATTCACAGATTACGAATTATTTGAAGGTAACACACTATTTTATTTTTATTTTGAATTGTTAAATCATGTGATAGGAGAAACTGTGATTGGAATTGGTTGTAAAAAACGATCAAAATGTCCAGTCATTAACATTCCATTTAGTGGTAGCTCGGTCGCAAAGGAGCACTGTCGTGTATTGATTGACGATAATGAGCACTTTATTATGGACCTTGGGACAAAAGGTAAAACGAAAAGGAAGTGCCACATTCTCAAACCTAACGTATACTATGAACTGAGTGATGGCGTTGATTTAATGCTGGGTGATCTAAAATGTCAATATTTTACTTCCCCCATGTCTGCGAGAGAGAAAGAGGAGGAAAAGAAACCAGTGGAGGAAACTGATTTGAATGAGACTCGGTCTCTTAATACTGATGCCACAGCCACGCCCTCACCTCGACCCGCCCATTCTCTTCAAATGTCTCCACTGCCTACTCTTCCATCATTTGATGCTGGTGAGTGTATA